ATAAAGACAGCGTTAGAGCCAAGTAATTACTCCTAAACTATTAGTTTTATTTGGTGAATACACGTGACTTCCAAACAAATTCACATAACCTTTGTTCCTACAATTACTACTGTTTAGTACTTATATTTTCTCTAGTGTTTCATATTAATATTATATGATTACAGACAACTTTATGCCCGCGTTGCTGAAGAGTTGGAGAAACGTGAGCTGCCAATGGACCAAGATGGCCACGAGGAGAAAGGCGCTGAACCCATTCTACTTGGAAAGATCGACTACGCTGATGAGACGCTACCTCTAAAACCTGAGAAGAAAGCTTCATAGTAAGACGTAGGGAGATATTTTGGACTGTGATTTAGTGTTAAGTTTGTGCTCAAATTAAATGAGATTTAATACGTCACTAAATAACGAGAGTATGACGTCACCAGTGCGTGAAATGTATTGTAACTTTTTTAAAAGAAGTTACAACGTTTGTCGTTTGTTAATTTTGTCAAATAGTTTAAGAATTATGATAAATATGGTTTGATACGATATCTTTCCAAGTTTATCGAAATATTAATTTTGTCATATTGATATGACGATGTAAGTATTTTCGGTCGAATTTAATAATCGTTACATTCCAAGAAGCTACAAACATTGGACGTAATATTTATTTAAATATACTTATGTTAGTTTTTAAGTGAGTTTTGGAGAAAAATATGCAAAATTACGATTTTTTTGTAAAGTGGTGTAATTTACAACAACATACCTCCACTTGTGTCTGTAAGTGGAGACAAATGTTGCCAGTTTGTAAATTTTCTATTATATTTTTAAGATTTTAGTTTTTAATTTTAGAAACGAATTATATTTACGATTTTTTAATGCATTCGTTTTATTTTTTAACATCGTTCTTGATCCATACTATTATTAAAAAACAGGAAAGTTTTGTATTTTTGTGTGTGTTGAAATAACTCGAAAACTACTGGGCCGATTTTAATAATTCTTTCTCCGTTAGAAAGGTAATAGTTCTGTGAGTAACATAGGCTTTTTAAATTCACGCAGGCGAAGTCGCGAGCAACAGCTAGTTTTAAATTAAAAAGTTATTCAATAGGAAGAAATATTAATAAGGCGGGGTTGCTGTGTTGCTATACTCGTATATCAAAAAACTTTTTTTTTATCTTAAAAGCGATGACATCAATGTAATTAAAGCCATTGTGATATATTTCTAAGCACACTGTTAATTTAACGGCTGATGTAATAAGAATTATGTCACTAACCGCCTTGGTGTCTGTACAAATAAGTAAATTTTAACATCATAATTAGCGTATTTTGTGTTAAAGCTTACTTAATTGTTTATGAATGTCCTTTTATATTTTTTTAATCGCCAGTGAGTTGTACAGAATAAATATACACCAACGCATTGGCAGAATTAGCAATGTGACGCTATTTCTTAAAAAAAAAAACAAATTTAGGCAAAAGGCCTTTGCCTCTGCCAACTTTATTATAAACTAGCTGTTCCCGTGCGTCTTCATCCGCACGAAATTATGAAAAATTATCAATAGCAGATGTCAAAATGACATGATATTACAAGCCTTGGCAATCTTGCTTCTTGATGTTGGTAGCAACTTATGGTCTCTTTCCCATATTAGGGTTTTTATCCAAAATATATACCCCTAAGTTTAATGGCGTGGAAATATATAGTGTAGGGGTTTTCATTAAAAAAAGAATTATTCAAAATTATGCTGTAATTGTTGACATCTTAGGCAACAAAAAGTGTGTGTTTACGCTTTATTATAATAGTATAGAGTATAGATCTAAAATCTAAAGAACAGAATTCAAAGACTTCGATTGAGTGCTGCGGTGCTAAATTAACAATTTTTTTTATTCTAAAGTTCCTTAATTATTTTCTGACTGATGACGTAAACGGAAACTTGGTAAATATTCAGAAGCTTACTTATATTTGAATAACAAATGATAACTCACAAGCACACAAGGATATCTAAATTCGGTACAGGAAAAAACAATAATAACTATAACGCTTTTCAAATATCTTGACGCCTGTCATTTGAATGCAGCTGTGCCCGTATCCCGCTAAACTCCGGTAATCTAATATTGTGCTTTTCTGCGCAGCGACACTATGAAGTTAAGAACTAACAAGATGTCGCTTTTATTATAATCCTCCATGTCCTACTCCCGTTGGGTCGACGCAAAAGGTTTTTGTCCCCCAAATAACTTTATCATACGTCATCTCAGTCATCACTTCTTTCTTGATCATGTCACCTTTCACGCAATCTATCTCTTTCTAGGTGTACCTCTACTTACGGCTCCTTATAGCAGTCGGAGGCCACCGTGGGGTTTTAGTCGGCGCAAATCCGACATATCCACCCTTGTCCCTGCAAGGGTGGTATGCGTTAGGTATTTCCCCACTAAAAAAAAGTGTACCTACACACTCATAACTAACGTTCTTCTTGTAACATGCTTTATTTATAAAAAATAATCGCAAATTTTCATTTGAAGTTTGGTATGCACAGGAGATTTGAGATGAGAGAGAAACAAGTTGTTCTATCTCTTTTTTCCATTCTAAGACTCGAGTTATATTTGTCCTATTCCAAAAACATAATTTTGAGTTTATCATTTTTAATAAATGTGCGATATATGAATACTACAATACATGATAATTAAGACTGACGGGTTATTAAATTTTGTTTATTAGTTATGATATTACTGGAATTAAGTTAATTTAATTAAAATTTATCATATATTGAACATGTTTCCTTATTTTCAGTACGAATTTGTAAACTTATTAATTGGATTTTTAATAATAGTTTTAATTTTGTACAAATTAATTAAAAAGATTTGATGAAATTAGGTATTTTTAAGCTAAAATGAGATTGGTTAGTCCACTATGGTCCTTCGAAAGAGATTAAATTTTTTTTTAACCATACGAAATGGTATCTAATTTTCACTTAACACGTAAACACGCTTAGTTTGAACGTGATAAGATTACGTAGTTTTATTTAAGTTGTGATTAAGTAAGAGCCATAACTTGCAGCTTGAAACTTCGATTCATTTGTTAGCTTTCTTCCTGTAAGAAGCGCAGCGGTGTCGGAGTGTTGACCTGTTAATGATGCTTCGGGACGTACGATGACGCGGAAGTTTAAAATTAAGTAATTATTAATTACTAGCTGTTGCTCGCGACTTTGTCTGCGTCAAATTAAAAAATAATGAAAACAGCTTGTGTTATACACTGATAACGTACCTTTTTAATGGTGAAAGAGTTTTTGATATCGACCTAGTGGTTTTTGAGTTATATAATTGCATACAAAAATACAACTCTTTCCTCTTTATTACTATAGAAGTAGTGATTGATGTGATTTTTTAAATATATGTATAGATTAGGTTTCTATTGAAGCTCGTCATTTTCCGTTTCTTCTTTTTCTCCTTCCGACTTCCATTTGACGCGTTTTTTAATAACCTACAGATTGTTATATACACAAAGCTAGTCTAATTTTCTTGATTATTGTAGATGAAAGGATCATACTTAACGTAACTTACGTTAAGTATCGGAATACGGTTCAATAAAACTTCAATTTTAGATGGTTCAGTGGTGTTACCATTAATATACTAAAGTAAAATACCTATTTACAACGTGATGACATTAGTTATTGATTCATACTATTTTGCTACATTTTGTCCGTATTTTTTAATATATCCGGGGTAAATCATAAGCGTAAAAATCCATCTTAAAAGACCGACTGCATATGTTCATTATTATAAAGATAAGCATTAAGTACCATGTTAATGCTTGTAAAAATTCTTCTCAAAACAAATTGTGTTTAGTTTTCTTTAATAAAAAAACGTGAGAGTTTTTTTTATCGAAGTTAAGATTAATAAAATGGTGATCTAAGATTTAGTTAGCTTTCATTATTATAAGGATATGTTTATTTTTCTCACTGTTAAATTTACACATAATGTTGTCTCTATTTTGTTCGTAGAGAATAAGAGAGATAGCAATATGTGTCACCCAGTATCACAGCAGTAAAATAGAGTAAGATAAAAACGTGTAGCGTCCCGAAGCATTCGCGGGATACCTGGAATTTCGGTCGCACAGGTAGCGGGCAGCGGGCAGTGGGGGGTGAAGGCGACTGGTTTGAAGCCGCGCCCTCGCCACCACACGAGCCCGTCAAACTGTGTCCGTGACCTTACTGCTTCTCAAACTGTACACCACCCATCACATAACTCTGGAAG